TATCTATTGTTTTGTTAAGTTAATAACTTAATCTGTTATTTTTGATACCTCGATTAAAGATAAATTACATATCGGGTCATCTTTCGGGTAATCACAATAAAAGGTTATGGAAAAATCCTTCGTCATTATTTAGATTAGGTATACTATCGGTGTGAAATGGTCCTTTTGTTAAACCATAGGTAGGTGAGATAAAATTTCTTATTATCTGAAAAAGTCAAGTCTTTGTACAAAGGTGAAAGAATTGTCACAATACCTAAGAATCGATCTCGGACCTACGGCGAACTTGGATATGGGGCCAATTAACCTTTATTTACCAAGGTAAATATTACAATGTATGTTTAGACAGGTTAAGAAATAAGTAATGACATTTTTTGCCATCAAGTATTTACCAGCATCTGCGGACAAACTGTCGAATATTCGTGTGGTAGATAAAACCCATGGTAGTATTTAAAGTTCTAAGTTTCAGACATATAACCTCATATACAAATAATATATTCAAAATACTGGGACTTTAAGGAAGCAAAAGCAGGTAAATAATTTTCAAATGAACATTTTGACAATTTACAAGTAAATAGAATGCACCATGTAAACTCTTAGTTACATCTTCATTAATACTGCGGTAGATATATTCAGTGACACTGTAGGAGAAAATAAACCAATAATAATAATACTGTAATAACCATAGCTTGATAACTAAAAGCTGAATACGTATATAAGTAAAAATAACTGCGCCCTTATATATATTAAGTACATTTTGTGCACTCGAGTACACATCGGGAGCGACTGAATTTGCCATGCCCATTTTAACGCCACTTGCATGTCTATTGTAATATTTAATAGCACAGAAGTTTCACGCAAGGTGTTTAATCTTTGTATGCAAAACAAGATTAAATTCTTTTCTTATTGCATTTTGGTAAACCACATAAGCACGATTTTTCGGATTATTTAAGTAACTTTATAAGCAAATGAGGTTTTTAGATTTTAACGATTCGTCGACCTTAATCTAAATATTATGAATTATTTTTTTAAATAAATACTTACCGAAGTCAAAATCGGATTAAAATTTGGTTTTAGATTGATAAGCTTTGAAGATAAAGTGATTAGGAGCGGTTAAATTAATGCCAGTTGATCCCTTAAATGCATAACGTATTGTAGATATGACATTTCAGATTTATTGTTAAAAATGAGTGATGGATTTTTATACCCCACCATTCATGACAGAGGTATATGTTATTGCAGATGTCCGTCAGTCTGTCATTCTTTACTCCAGAAATCCAAAAGTTGTTCAAAGTTTTTTTGTTATGTCTGTAAATATTGATCCATTCTTTTTAATTTGCTTGTGTATAACTATAAAGTCAGCTACAGATTGAGTTTGCGTTTGGATTTGGATGACCTCCTTTTCACAAAGTTACGGCCCTTGGAATTAGACGGGAAACGAAAGCGTTCGTGTCTTCCCAATACTTTTAGTTCCTTCCTTAGTCCAAGTGGTAAATATTTCATCCATATTTTCTAGACGGTTGTTTCTATGTTTGTTTTGTTCCAAAAGGTTTCTGAATCCTTTCCGACTTTTCTACATGTAACAAATACTGGCATGATCCTGTAGTAATTTATTCAATACAGTAAAACTAGCTAACGATATTAGTTACAGAATGTCGGGGAAATGACCGACGTGAAGGATGTCATATTAGCAGCCACTTATAATACAACCTTACACATCGGTGTTTCATTACTCAGTAATGCATGTCTTTGGATGTTGCACATGCTTTCATGAAAACGCGTAAGACTGTCGAATGCGTAAAAACGGATTTTTGAACGAATTTCATTTATTTATTTTAACGAAACTTATGTAACACATTTCTAGTATGAAACACTTCATATACATATATACGGTTAACTCTTTTACAACCAAACAAAACCACATAAAATTAATTGAGTTCGCAAATAAAAGTTATTGACTACATGTACATGTAAATGTTTTCGAACTTAAAACATGTGAAACGTATCTCGGATTGTTGTCCATTATCGGGCACATTGGCTACATTGCGGAATGTGGACACACATCTTTGTAAGAAAATTATCGTCAATGTAAAATAATATCATAATTTACTTCAGTACTATTTAATAATTTTTCTTGAATTTCATTTGTAAATAGTGATTTATAACATCATTCAATAGACCTATTGACTCCATGTCTGATAGTATATTAAAAAAAATAAAAAATTTCATTGTTACCAATAAAATACAAATTTGCTTTCGATTTTATCAAGAAATAAGTTTACAATTTGAATAAAATTGCAATTTTGTTACTAAGTTATGAACTTTATTATTGGAAAATTAAAATCTGATAACAAATTTGTTTCAATATATTTTTTTTTCTTGATGGAAATCTATTTTTTCTATTAAATTAAATAGCTACATACTGCATTTAAAAGAAACAGATTATTAATGCAATAAATATATGTCATGCTTTATGCCAAATTTGACATAAATCCCACAGGCAAATTGTGTTTTCCATTCAAAATCACCAATCACCTATGTCTGTAGTTGAAAAGTCTCACTCGAGTAAACAGTCTGTGATGTAAGATCTAAGTTGCCGTATGCAGTCTTGCATCGTACAAGAAAAAAATCTTTATATTGTATGGAAAGGGAACATTCACCTTGGACTAAACATTGTTGAAGTTTTGGCATCTCCCATTAGTACGTTTTAGATTTACCAGTTTTTCAGGTAAGAGTATCTAAATCTTAAACTGTGATAACTTCCAGTTATAGGTTGCACCATTTCTTTTTTTGAAATCAAACACTTAACTATTTTGGCCTTGGCATCTACAGGATTTCTAGTCGCTAAATAGCGCTGCATTATTTACAAATTCCTTTGAAACCCGCACGTAAACGATATTATTGGAGTATAATTGACTTGAATTATTAATTGTTAAGTTTCAGTTTTCGTCTATATTATCCTGTTATTTAAACATGAAAATGACACCGGTAATATGGTAATATTCCACATATAGCCGACTACGGTGTATTTTGACAAGTCTTTTCTACTCTCATGCATAATAATGATTTTATGCAGAGTTTGTAATTAAATTTGATACATTAATGACTATAGAAATTAAACACCGTTATATAATTTCAAGTGGCATATTGCTTCTAGACTTGTCAATATTTGGCATATAAGTAGGTAAAGAGAGCAAATATTTGTCAAAAGGAGGTTCCCGTAACTGAAAATAATCTTTTTGTATTTCTGTTGAAAATTAAGACGTACATATCTTTATTCTAATTTGTTTAGTTCATACAGAATCAACATTTTAATGGATATCTTGAATTTAACATAAGTAATGGAAACAATCATTTTTCATCTTCTTTTCGTCTATATTATCCTGTTAGTTAAACATGAAAGTGACACCGGTAATATGGTAATATTCTACATATAGCTATCAATTATTGTTCAAGAAGTAAGATTAAATATTTTTTCTATTTTTTCCGATTAGGTCTTGTTTGTACATACATTCTTTAGTTCTGGATATGCCTTTGATATTGACAAATGAACATAAAAAGCGACGAAAAAATAATTAACATAGTTACAATTTACAATGTGTCGGCAAAATATACATAAACCCTCTGTTCTCAGATCGAGTGTACTCTAAAAATTTGAGGTTTTGTAAGAATTTAAAACTTCCAGTATTGCTCAATTAAAGTCCTGTTCAATTGACCTTTTAAATATTTACTAATCTAAATTTAATCATGCTTATAGTCCACCGAAATGTATTACCGAGTTCTCAAACAGAAAAGTTATTTCACTTTAATTTGAATAAACTCAAGAGTCTTTTGTATACAGAAAAATCATCGTAAGATGATTATTTAAAGTTCAACTTTTCATAAATTGAAATCTAGAAAGATAAACAATTTGTTACGTATATGAACAGATTAAGAAACCTCAAAATAAGAGGAGAATTATTTTCCATGAAAAACAGTTTTTAAATATACATAACAGTATATTGTATGTGACATTTGAGATTGTCCATTGTGCCACAGTATTTTCTCAGGTGGGGACATTTTTAACTCTATGAGCAACATAAAAGTTTGTTTTAATGAAGCCCTCCGCCGTTGATAATTATAGACACACGCATTTATAGAAATCTACCATTTAGTCGTGAACTGATGTATGGTAACATATGAATTCGGAAATTATTTTACTGGATTTTACCAAAGTAAGACGTGAGCAGTTTTACATATATCTAGATTTATTTTGTCTATACAGGGAAAAAAAAAAAACAATAATTACGCGAAACACAATTTTAAAGAAAACATGTATCTTATTCTTGGGAACTGCGGATTCAAAATGTTTAATGAACATTTTCATGGAAAAAAAATGATATAAATTGTTTTTCGAAATGTGTGTTTCGTAAACATTTCTTGTTTACCTAATTTATTAGTGAAACAGTTGTGTAACATGTATCCGTATTTATACAGGTCTGTATCTTATACAATCCGAATAAAACGGCATACAAATACATGTATTGAAAGCACTCTATACAAATGAACAGTATTGAATTTGGCATAAAAGAATTAGCTGTGCTTTTGACAGGCAAAAAGTGAACATCATGGTGTAATCTTTACTTAATATTGAATAGTTAACGCTTAACGGTACGCATGCACAATCATAATAATACCTTATTATTTGCTAATGTTTATTTTTACAGCTTTGTGAAGAGTTGTTTGTGTAGCTTAACTTCTACAATTCAAGTGCATCGTTTATTTCAAAATGTTCACACGTAATTTTCTCACACAAAATGACTTTTAAATAAAATGCGCCAGGTAATCCAGTTTCGAGAAAAGCATATGATTTGCATAGGTTTATAAAGTACGTCTCCAACTTAGTCTTAAAATATGATATAATCATTAATGATCATATCTATCAAGTAATAGTAACTACTAGAATAAACTACTAGGGTCCGATATTATTTTAAACATATAACCATGATTCGTATCTTTTACAGATGGACGGAGCTGAGGCGGTTACCGAAATACCAGTGTGGTTTACTGGAACTCAGCGCTGGGTGACTGGTTTGACTAAACGAACAACGTGCGATGATGTCATTTATGCGCTACTCTACAACGACGGAAAACACGAAGACGAAAGAACAGACAAATATACAATTTACGAGAGATGGCGAGATGTAGAAAGGCCGTTACAAGGACGAACAAAAATTCTAAAAATATGGAAGGCTTGGGGTGATGAGCAGAGAAATGTTCAACTTTCAATGAGACATGTTGACGAATTTGATGAATACGGCGAATTCCTGCACGCTAGGAGGCACCGGCGACGATCGCGTCACAAAACACGTGATGGTCATAACAATAACCCCAAAGAAAACGCCCATAAACACAAGTCATCCGAAAGATTGAAATCAATTGACGATTTAGCAAAAACAGTGATAAAACAAGAACGAAAACTACACGATATGGGATATAGATTGGAAGGAATAGATAAGGAAATAGAATTGTACGAAACAAACATGCATCAGACTCGAATGCAAGCAAATGGTACGGATTATGTTCAAGATGCTTATTTAAAGGGGGGTTTGGAGGATAGCATGGACGAATTTCTTCGCAAGATTGGCCCAGAAAGTTTAGAAATGTATATTGAATTTTGTGAACGAGTTCTTCAATTAGAATCCAAAATCAAAAAGGAGAATTCTATAGTTGAGGAATTATCGTACCAAATCAATGAAGAAACTTCTTTTAATCAAGCATTTTGTGGTGACGATAATGTTTTTGAGAAGGAGTTCTGTAACAGTGAACTTGAAACGGAGCTATCAAGTTTACAGGCCGAACTTAATAGAATTGTATCTGCTAATATGATGCAGAAATATGAGGCAGCTGAAATCGCTCGTGAAATTGACACGTGTGATAGAGTATTATCGGATAAACAAAAGACCATTCAAACCCTTCAAAAGGAACTGGAAATATTAGACCGGTTTGAAAATGAAAGCAAAGCTTCGAGTGATATGCAAGAATATAGGGCAGTAGATTTACCTTCGAACTCTTCTGCAGACTATGCAAACATAGAAACTGTAACAATGTTGCCTAGTCAGGATTATGCTTCAGCACCCGGTGCATCAGGTCAAACAATTGATCCTTTTAAAAAGAGTTTCCTTGACAACGACGATACATTTTCGATCGATACAGACAATACATCTAACGATTCCCAATTCGGGTATAGTAAAGAAAGTACACCTAAAAATGGACACCGGCGGAATTGTTTGTTTATTCCACATGGCAAAATGTTTGACGATAGTTTAATTAGTGAACGAATTAAATCTGAGATTTATTCTTATAAGTCTAGATCAGAATGTCACTTAAAAAATGATGGTTTTGTTAGTGCTACAGTGAACAATAATTCTCGGTCAGACTGTTGTGCCAAAGTTGTTGACGACGATTCAAATTCCGACACAGGACTTAGTTCTATGCATAGTGACGATGCCACGACGCCATACAATTTTCTAGAAACACTAGTATAATTAACATTGACCGATGTCTAGACAAAAATCGCTTAACTAGTTTTCCTGTTTCTTGAAGTTGCACAGCTGAAACGTTCACCACGTACGCGTGAAAATCTTTTGGGAAAAGGGATGTGGTGAGATAATTAAATTTTCTGGTACAAATATTTGGATGTTACGACAATTGTTAGAGTAGCTTGGAACACTTGTGTTTTGACTTGGGATAATTTTGCGAAAAAATATGTATTTCCACTTCTGTTGTTTAAATCAATTTACATATAGGCGGATATTTAATGACTATGTTTGGTAATAGGTGAGATTATTTTGCTATTTTTTGGTTTACATCTAAAAAGGGATATAAACGAAATTTTCTATGACAAGCATAGTACCTACATGTACGTGTCCATTCACAGTCGTCGCTGACATTTAAATTATAACTGAAATACATTTTAACAATAGTAATATGACCATGGAAATGCCACAGTTTGATTCGAATGTGACAAATTATTGATGTTTGAAAAATATATACATATAGATGCATATTAGATATAGACGGAAAATGTTCAAGTTAAGCATTAATACTCATACGTGTAAGCAACGATTATAGCATTCAGTACCTCGCGTTAGCACCATTTGTGTTCAGTTTTTCAAACTTCCTAACTGAATGTTTATTCATACTGTAATTCTTCTTTGAATCTATCTGTCGTCTCGTTTTTTCTCTCTCTTTCTCCTCCTGTTATCTTATCAGATATTTAAACTTGTTGATATTTGTGCATATACAAGAAATAAATCGTTTATACAAATTATACTTATTTTTAAGCATTATTTTAAAACACAAACATATAGTCATTTGATAGGATAGTATAATGTATACACGATACGTTAGCTTTAGAGGGACGGATTATTTCTGTACCACAAACGCTTTTAGTAGCCGGCGTATTCCCTTATGAATATATAAAATAAGAAGATGTGGTATAAACGCCAGTGAGACAACTCTCCACCGGTGTTGGATTATCAATCTTCCTCGCAGACATTTACTAAGATTACAAAAAAAAGCAAGAATGGACAACAACAACAAAAAATAATTCGAAGAAATACAGATAGAAAACACCACGACAAAAAAAAAAAAAAAAACGACGAAAAGACGATCAAATGCATATCTACAAAACACAACAGAAAACTAAAGAGGTAATACGAACCCTATATAATATCGGTACTTTTAAAATTTAGGCGCTCTGGAAAGGTTAACAGTTCTTGCAAATCTTGTTTTGGCCGTCGTGTTGTTCAATTCATGTGAAATTCCGGTGGTAAGTGGCATTCATACCGGCCATGGAACCAGATCACGAAAGCGCCAGTAAAACTTCCTAAGAGATAACTTCAACTTTTCCAACCAGAGCCCTTAATTCAATAAGCTTCCTTGCATTATGTTGTTAACTTTGCATCCTTATTACAATCACATAATTCATCATCTGAAAATTAATGATTTTTGTGACTACTTTTATGGATGGTTATAGATTTGGGGAGTCACAAAACATACAATACCAGTGATAGCACGTGATATTATCTGCTGATTTCAGTGCTCACGGCACTATATAGTACGCCCAGAATAAAAGTTTGTAAGTCAATCATAACAAATATTTGAGGGCATCAAAACTATACAGGACTTTAATAGAACAGCCAAAACCTTCTAAGGCGAGGAAATTTATTTAAACTGGGAATCTATTACATTTACCAAACATAAATATTATCATAAAAATCCGACCAGTGATGAGAAACCAACAGCTGTAACCAAATTGCAGTTTCACTTCATAAAATTGTTATTTTTCATACGCCGATGATAAGGCTGGGTTTTCTTCTCGAGAATACTCTTGATAAAAACGTTAAGGGGTACGGCAACACATTTTGCGTTATTAGGGGATTTAATGGACAGTCTTGTTCAACGTTTTTGTTGGTAGCGAAAAGTTGTCACTCAATATAAAAAAATAAGGAGATGTGATATGAATGCCGATGAGACAACTACAGTCGCATTGATTAACAACATATGGCTTTTAATACATACTTTTATATACGTTATATATATATATAATAGCTATTTTGATTGGGATTTCAGCAGTTTGTAAAACTAAAAGAAAGTAACTACAAGATGTATTTTAGAAATTGTGTGCGTCATTGTTTACCTTCAACTAGAAAGCTCCAAGGTAAACATTTAAAAGTTATGGATGTTCAAACATGAAAGGCCATTTGACCAACAGGGACCTAAAAAGAATATTCAAATTCATCTAAGGTCACCTTTGCCTGAGGGAGTTGGAACTCTAGTTTCTTAAAAATTTCTAAATTTATATACGGGAAATTTTAGAAAAAAATATGTCATAAATCATGTCATTACCGAAGTACTGCATTTTGTGCGGTTGATACACTTGTGACTATAATCAACCACTAGTGGTACCGACCAAGTTTTAGTAAAAGAAAACAACACTTAAGAAATTTCGTGCTTCCGAAGCGCTTTTCTGGATTTACCTTCATCAGGATCCGGAGCGCTTAAAGCTAAAAGTTATAAAGCCAGGGATGTATAATTATAGATTCTACCACTGCATCGAGTATGATACGATATTTATCCACTCGAGACAGTTAAATTTTCAAATTTAAAACGCGAGGCTCGCCGAGCGTTTTAAATATTTAAAATTTAACTGTCGAGAGTGGATAAATATCGTATTACACGAGATTTGGTGGTGGAATCTGTTTCTCTAATGATTTTCCTACAATACGCAGGCAAATTTATTCCTTCTTTTCGAATGATCTGCAAAAATATGTGTTCTTTCTATGTGACGTCATCAGGCATGGTCGCCTTTTTTCATGCCGTCACATAGGAAATTCAGAGGAAAGCAAGAAAATTCGACGCCATAATCGGTTTTAACCAATGAAGAACTGAGATCAAACGAACCACACGTTGATTAATTTGTTTTTATACGATGGGTGCAGAAAGGGATAAATTGACGAAGAATTAGAGAAATACGTATACACGTTAGAAGCTATATAACAAATTTGACCTAAAAGTAGCCAATACTTCTAAGGTCATCTTTTCGTAAGGGAGTTGTACACTTAGTTAACTAGTAATTTCTTAATTTATCAATGGGCAATTTTTAGAAAAGAATGTTATAATTCATGTCAGTACCGAAGTTGATGATACCCTTGGGTACTAACAGTTCACCAGCAGTGGTATCGATCCATGATACCCTTGGGTACTAACAGTTCACCAGCAGTGGTATCGATCAATGATACCCTTGGGTACTAACAGTTCACCAGCAGTGATATCGATCCACTGCTAGTAAATGAAATAAACACTTTAGAAATATAGCGCATCTGAAGCGCTTTTCTGGATTTACCTTAATTCATCAGGTCCGCCGTCAAAGATTAACATCTGAAAGCCCCCTAGGAATGTATAAATACGTATAAACTTTAAGAGCTATATGACCAAAACGGGGGAAAAAAAAAGAAGTTACAGAGAAAGATATAATTTGAAATATATGTGAAAAGCATGGTAAAATAATCCTACAAACTAGAGTCAACACTCCTGTTACTGGTGTCTTTTCTCCAACACACTTAAGCTAGATACTAATTTGGAAAAGATATAAAACAAGTTAGAGCTCGATCCAGACTAGACAGTTAATTATATTGTTAGAACAAGATAGTTGACACGAACACCCACACACTTTACATGACAACGTTTTTGCTTTACATTAAATTATGACCTCGCTTAAATATCTTTTAATAAAAATTGATATATTTTGATTTCATTTGTTTTAGATTTAAATCCACCATAAGGACAACAGTTCAATAAAAAGAGCGACAATTCAATTACATCGTTGACTTTGGACTAATAGAATGATGAAAAATGAAAACAGAAAATTATTTTGAAAATTTGATAATCGCCTTTTAAAGTTGACGATTTAGTAATTTATGTAATACTATTAAAACTGTTACTAGGAACCAAAATTGGTATTGTACTGTAATATTGCTTTACATGTAACTTTACAAAACTTTTTGTATATTTTGACATCTTATTTTTATATATTTGAATTCTCGTAAAGCGAAAACCAGAACTCGTTTAATGTCCCCATCCTTTACATTACGAATTACAATTCATAATGTTAATATCACGCGGCTGTGAGTTAAAACAACTATTTCATACTGTTAATATAACCACTGTGTGCTTTATATGAGGTGGCTGTGAGTTAAAACAATTATTTCATAATGTTAATATAACCGCTGTGTGCTTTATATGAGGTGGTTGTGAGTTCAAACAACTATTCCATAATGTTAATATAACCATTGTGTGCTTTATATGAGGTGGCTGTGAGTTCAAACAACTATTCCATAATGTTAATATAACCGCTGTGTGCTTTATATGAAGTGGTTGTGAGTTAAAACAACTATTTCATAATGTTAATATAACCACTGTGTGATTTATATGAGGTGGCTGTGAGTTAAAACAACTATTCTATAATGTTAATTTAACCGTTGTGCGCTTTATATGAGGTGGCTGTGAGTTAAAACAACTATTCCATAATGTTAATATAACCATTGTGTGCTTTATATGAGGTGGCTGTGAGTTAAAACAACTATTTCATAATGTAAATTTAACCACTGTGTGATTTATATGAGGTGGCTGTGAGTTAAAACAACTATTCTATAATGTTAATTTAACCGTTGTGCGCTTTATATGAGGTGGCTGTGAGTTAAAACAACTATTCCATAATAATAATATTACCGCTGTATGCTTTACATGAGGTGGCTGTGAGTTAAAACAACTATTTCATAATATTAATATAACCGCTGTGTGCTTTTAATGAGGTGGCTGTGAGTTCAAACAACTATTCCATAATGTTAATATAACCGCTGTGTGCTATATATGAGGTGGCTGTGAGTTAAAATAACTATTTCATAATGTTAATATAACCACTGTGTGATTTATATGAGGTGGCTGTGAGTTGAAACAACTATTCTATAATGTTAATTTAACCGTTGTGCGCTTTATATGAGGTGGCTGTGAGTTAAAACAACTATTTCATAATGTTAATATAACCACTGTGTGCTTTATATGAGGTGGCTGTGAGTTAAAACAACTATTTCATAATTTTAATATAACCACTGTGTGCTTTATATGAGGTGGCTGTGAGTTAAAACAACTATTTCATAATGTTAATATAACCAATGTGTGCTTTTATATGAGGTGGCTGTGAGTTAAAACAATTATTTCATAATTTTAATATAACCACTGTGTGCTTTATATGAGGTAGCTGTGAGTTAAAACAACTATTCAATAATGGTAATATTACCACTGTGTGCTTTATACGAGGTGGCTGTGAGTAAAAACAACTATTTCATAATATTAATGTAACCACTGTGTGCTTTATATGAGGTGGCTGCGAGTTAAAACAACTATTTCATAATGTTAATATAACCACTGTGTGCTTTATACGAGGTGGCTGTGAGTTAAAACAACTATTTCATAATGTTGATATAACCACTGTACAGTGCTTTATACGAGGTGGCTGTGAGTTAAAACAACTATTTCATAATGGTAATATAACCACTATGTGCTTTATATGAGGTGGCTGTGAGTTAAAACAACTATTTCATAATGTTAATATAACCACTGTGTGCTTTATATGAGATGGCTGTGAGTTAAAACAACTATTTCATTATGTTGATATAACCACTGTGTGCTTTATATGAAGTGGCTGTGAGTTAAAACAACTATTTCATAATGTTAATACAACCACTGTGTGCTTTATATAAGGTCGCT